CTAGTAAATTCTTTATATTTTTTCAATGTTTTTTAGAAAGCACATTAAAATACCATAACGTTTTTATAGGCTTTTATAGATTTATGGATTTTTTATAGATTTAAATAAAATTTTGTTGGGGTATGTAGCACTAATATATTCTTGTTAATATGTAACATGTATTTATGAATGTTATAAATATTCTGTGTAATTTTGTAAAAGTAGAAATATATAGAAGAGGAAACATCGACGATTAATATCTGATATAAATGATGAAGATGCTATACGTTAGCTTCCAAAATTTTCTTCCAAAAAATGAATACTGTGTAAAGCATTGGAAAGAAATGTTACTACATGTAAATCATCACGAATATGGAACTTTCGGTTGCAAAGCAAAAGGAAAACTGCACGAAATTGCCATAACAAATGGTACTTGGTTTAAAAATGTGCAATTGTGGCTATTAAAAGTAGAGTAATATATGCAGCTTTTGAGGCGCGAACTGTGATAAATATCAGCTTGGAGCATGGGAATCAAATTGTAAAAAAAAATAAAATTCTAGAGAAAAACACATTAGTGCCAAAATCAAATATATTTTTATCCAGAATTTCAGAACGGTTAAAATGATATGCAATATAAAAGCTTCGAGAAGATAGCGGTAAAGTTCTGCGTAGATTTTTCTGGAAAAGAAATTTAAAAAAAAGTAAGGAAGAATATTTTCTTACAAAGGTATAAATAATTAAACTTTATTTCCTGTTGTACTTATTTAATATTTTATAAATAACAAATGAAATATGGCGGGTTTGCCCCACAATAACCTTACTGCTTTTATTTTTATCAATGTTTATTTCTGTGATTTTATTGTTATTTTCTGTCAAGTATGCAAACCTATATGGCCGTTATAGTGAAGGTCATCTTCCTTTCAACTCATTTCTCTCAATTCCCTTCCTGTAAACAAATAATACATTTAAACTCCTAAAACGATGTTCTGGTCTGCTGACCGACATGGTGACAGACGCGTTAATAACACGTTTTGTCTTCACTCTGATATATATTTGGGTTACAACGTATGACGTTACTCCAAGAGATTGTTCTAATATACATTCCTGTTGTGTACGTTCATCGAATAAACAAGATGTCTATGTTTATTTAATGTAGGAAACGAAGCGATATTACCCATGGGATGACCCGATATGCATGTCGCACATCCTTCCTTGTAACACTTTCCAAATAATACACACAGTCAAGACACGTACATCTCGGCAAACATTTCAAAATTATATAAACTTACTTGATACTTTACTTTTTGCACAAGCTCCCGCTTGCAGAAAATTTTCGCGACTTTTGAATACAAACGTTGGCGATGCGTCGACAGAAATTTATGAAGGTTGCGGAATTTTTAGTGGAGTCAGTTTTTTTTATGAAATTTCACTTTGGGGGTGAGGGTTATAGTAGTGGGATGATCTGAATTGTGGAATGGAGAATCGCAATTTTTAAATTTCAAGATTTCGAGATTTTGGGATCTGGGGATTTTGGGATTTTGAAATTTTGGGATATAGGAATCTAGGGAATTTGGGGTCTAAGGATTTTGGGAACGAGAGATCGAGAGATCTAGGGATTTTGGGATTTAGGGATTTCGGGATTTCGGGATTTTGGGATTTTGGGATCGAGAGATCGAGAGATCTAGGGATTTTGGGATTTTGGGATCTTGGAATTTTGGGATTTTGGGATTTTGAGATTTTGGGATTTTGGGATTTTGAGATTTTGGGATTTTGGGATCGAGAGATCTAGGGATTTTGGGATCTTGGGATTTTAGGATCGAGAGATCTAGGGATTTTGGGATCTTGGGATATTTGAATCTAGGGAATTTGGGATCGCGAGATCGATGGGATTTTTGGATTTTGGGATGTAGGAATTTTGGGATCGAGAGATCGAAAGATTTAGAGAATTTGGGGTCTAGGGAATTTGGTATCCAGGGATTTTGGGATCTAGGGAATTCGAAATCTAGGAATTTTGGGATCCCAGGAGTTTGGGATCTCAAGATTTTAGTGGATTTTGTAATCTTGGGATCTTAGGATATAGGAATGTTGGGATTTGGAGATTTCGGGATTTTGGGATCTTGAGATTTTGGAATATTGGAATCTTGTGTGAGGTTTCTGGAGTTGAAGACTTTAAATATTTGTAAACGCTTCTGCAGCATAATTAAAAATAATAGTATACAATAATAAAAATGAAAATCACATCAAATTTTTCTTGTCTCTGATTCTCAGAGATGTTACACTGCATTTAAGTATTACCACATTACACATCATCCCATGACAAAATGAAAACCACCCATTTCTGTAATAGTGGTGGCAAAAGTAACGTCTTTTGCATTTAGCCTGTTCCACCAACTACTTTTTATAGAAATGATAATTATGCCAGAAATAATTTTTTTTTTCTTTTAGCGTATCTCTTATTACACCATTAACTAGTTAACTATATTCGACTTACGTACGCATGCAAAACATTATTTCGATTCGATCGACGTTAGTCAAAGAAAAATAAAAATGTAGTGTTTTGCTGTATTAATAGACAGCAGGAAATATTTATCTTGTATTCCTCTAATGCTCATTTACATGCATTTAAGTTGAAATGAAATTACATGCACAGCTTATTATTCGCAGCGTTAGCAGTAGTAAAGTGAATACAAATACACAGATTGTATCTATGAAATGAATTTGACTTCGAGCGACTAGTGTTTATATCCTTCGAAGAATTTTAACGTTTTACAAAAGCCCGGAGTGGACTTACAATTTTCGTGACATTGGCGAGGGAAAACAGTTCCTAATTTTTTATTGGTTTAGCTAAAATTCGAGTGAAGATGAAAATAGAAATGACGTGCGAAGTGGGTCTGCGTTTTCTCCGAAGTGACCATAGCAAGTAATAAAACCAAGCAATACCTCACATGTATAAAAAACTGCAAACAAAAAACTCTACTACATACTAAGGTTAAGGGTTCTGACAGCCAGATGTGACTAACAATAAATCAAAAAATATTCGCTGCAATGTAATGACTTCTTGGGTTTTATTGCTGCTATGGATAAAGAATTGATTTGGAACTACAAATGTGTTTCAAAAGGACCATATGTATTGTTGAAATCTTTCCAACATAGAGAAATTTCGTGTTTCAGAGGAATGTATGAATTTGATTGAGGAGGAGGCTAAATAAACATTATTTAGACAGAATTGAGCCTGAAAAATCATGATAATTTATTGGCTCAAATTTAAGGGAAAAAGCCTTGCGGCATAAAAAACCCCTTGCAAAATATGTATTTGTTAGTGATTGAACGGTGAAAGTGTGAATGAGTATGTACACATTGTGTATGTTGTTGAGTATGATTGTTGATTGATTTGAGAAGCACATGGTTTCACTCAATGTTGTTGTTAATTGATTTGAGGAGCAGAGGGTCTCGTTCAATGTTGTTACGATTCGTGTTATAATCCCCTGAGGGGTGTAGGGTCCCACTCGAATAGTGTTACGATGTATGATCTTTACCACCCTACAGTGGCCTATTCGAGGAGCGTACGGTCCCGCTCGAATAGTGTATGATTGCTCTGATACCACCCTGCAGTGGCCTATTCGAGGAGTGCAGGGTTCCACTCGAATAGTGTTATGATTGGTCTCAAAAACCACCCTGCAATGGTTATTCTATGTTACTCTACGCGGAACTTCTTGACTCTCGGTCCGACCCGCACAAGATTCAACGATCGACTGACTTTTTGATATAGAAAAATCGCCTGAACACCCTCGCGTTTCCGAGGGCGACAGTTAAAAAACTCTATGCTTTTGTTTGTTGAAATTGTTCAAAAAAGAAGGTACAGCTGTTAGCCGATTTATGGCAAGCACTTGCTTACGCTAAGACCGGTCCGGACAGGACTTGATATACAAAAGGGTCCTCGGTGATTCGTATTTCGAGGTATAAAGCTAATCACGGTGGTCTACGCGTCGAACCACTTGAACCCTGTAATAAATCCTTTAGTCGTGGTAAAGATCTAGGTTCGCGGCCGAACTTTATTGTATTGCTAAAAATGAAGATCTAGTTCTGAGATCTGGTCTTCTCGCTGTAATATGTAGTCTATGATCTAACGCTATAGAAATAAACACTATAAAAATACGCAAACCAGCTTGCACAATAATTCTCTATCTCAATGTTTAATGTACATTTATACAAAATCATGATAATTTTTGTACTGAAAAATAAGAAATGTAAGATTCGTCAATTAGACGAGTTCTGCAAGGAATTTTTGAAATTAAATTCCGCAGTTAAGGATCAGCTCTGGTAACCAAATACAAAGTGTTGTTTTCCGGAATTTTTGGAGCCTTGATCGAAAAATCGATAAGCCCGGCGATTCTTCTTTATTTTATGGTGTAGTCGGGAGAGACAAGGACAATAGATATTTGTTTTCCAAAAATGTGCAGAAATGTAATGTCGTTTTGCTAGGATTTTCAAGCCAGGAATATTTCTTTTCAAAAATATTCTTTGTATAATAATGTAGACTGGTAAAAAGCTCGATTTTGCAATTTTATCTCTAAAACTTCACGAAAAGAAAACATGGAAAGAATTTTTTACGTCCTATTTTTCCACAAAAGTGCTCTTTGCCGACCTAGATAATTGTACAAAGAATATTTCAGAGAATTCATGACAAAATATTGCTTCTTGGTCTGAAAATTCTGGTAAATCAAAGTTACATTTATGCACATTTCTCGAAATCAAATATCTATTGTCCTTTTCTTTTCTGACAAAATCAACATACAAAGATAGTCGGAGCTTATCAATTTTTCCGTGAGAAGCCTCAAAATTCCTCAAAAATAATACTCGGAATATTCGACCATTAGAAGCTGACCCTTAACTAGTTGATTCGAATAAAAATTGTGAAAATTAAAAACAGTAGATTGCATCCACTTACCTCAGTGACCTCAACTAATAACTAGTGTAAAAATGTTGTGAAAACTGTGAAAGAAAATTATCTGTTTTATTAGAAAAAGCAGAAGAGTTACCGTCCCGGAAGGTGCACCGTAGGATTGAATGGAATCTGGAAACAACCAACCAAACGACGAGTGGTACATTCCTGATTAAACGAGCAATCTATCCTGTTCACATGGTGTTATTATTGCTGGCACGCTTGTGTACGTGATCACCACTTGTCGGTACAACATCGGTATAATGTTCACTTGATACACTGCTATCAATAAACGGTTTACCAGGTAAATCACTCTTCTTGTTACTTTACTGCTTTAATGAAAAGTTAATTGAAATTGATTAAAAGGAGTATACATCGGTAATTCTCTCCAGATAAGATGCACAGTTGAAGCATGATGAGTCTTCCATTACAATAAATTATAAAGTGTAAGAGTATTTGGTGAAGAAAATACATTTGTTAGCATTATACATAGCTTTATCGTGGGTTATATAATTACTAACGTGTCAAAATTAATAATACTATAATGTAATATAAAATTTAACATAATAAAATAGTTGACGTATAATATACTTCTCATAATAATTTTTTTAGGCACTAAGCTAGGTATTAATAAGTTAATTTTAATAACAAGCTGTTATTTTATGTATTGTTAACATAAATATTTTAATTTCTTTATTATTTGTTGTTAATCTTAATATGTTCATTTTGTATTATGCTATATGTTAATCTTAACAATACGTCAATTTTTTATTGTACTAATGCGGTTAATTTTAATGACATATTGGTTATCAAAGAAAGAATATAGACAATCACAATCAAGCATCTTATGTTTCAATTATTCAGAATTAATGGTTTTAATTTTTAATGCAAGTATTTACTATTCTTCGAAAAATTAATGCTATTTGAAATCTTTTTAATATTTTCTGCATTTAATTACATGGTTATATTAAAGTGATGCGATCGGTATTAATAATTTTGATAAAAGTATGCCGTTTTACATATGGCTATTTCTCCAGAATGAGTTACGATACAAGTTATGTAAACGTAAACGTGTAAATGTAATTTAAATCTACTGTTATTTCTTAATTTCTATTTCTATTTTGTTTAAAACTTTCAATTATGAATTGAGTTAACATCAGTTTAATTACCACGTTAACTGGTACAAGATGCAGAAATTTTATATTTCAGGTTATATTTTGTATTATACTTTTGTCCTCCACTGTGCTGTGGTTAAAAAAAAAACATGTTACATAAACGAGGTTCATAAACTATTTATTATCTCAACAAAGGTACACGAGTTATAAAAAACTAATTTCTTGTTCGATGCTGCATTGAATGAATTAACTAGAATTGAAAATGAAGGAAATAAATTCAATTTATCAACAATATGAAATTTTTAGATAATTTATAAGAAATAATTGGACAGGTTGAATTCATTCATAAGAAAATTATAAGGATAAATGACAATTTCAAAAACTTTAGTAAAAATTATTAATCGATCAAACACGAATCTAATCATACGAAATTTCACAAATTTAATTACAACTTACATAAGAAAACATTCATGACCCCCTTTACATCATACTTTTTTTAACCGTAAAATACACCGTTGCCGTTTGGTAGCATACAAATGGAAGATCCGGAATAATTGAGTAACTAAGAAGAAAATGACAGACAGATTGAGAAGGAAGACAGAAAACGAAATGTTTCAAAAGTGAAACGATCATATCCTGTGTGAGTACAGTTATAACATGTCGCACTTCACACGACTGATTTTGCTCTGACAGTCAATGTGTTAATATTTAATACGCAAAATCTCCACTATTAGATAGTTGCTATTAATGTCAGACCTTCTTCCATCGTTTAAAATAGTACGGATATAAATGTGGCTTAAACGGAGAGAATTGACGATTCTTCTTCGATATAGGACGACAACCTATTTGGTTAAATATTGGTGCTTGGCCATCGAATTAGAATCATTGCAAATTTTCAGTATTTTGCACATTTCCCGCAAAATTAAAAGATCTCTTCAAATTATAATGATATTTAGCTACGAACATGATACATTATTATTGTACATAACATTATTAACACATGCTAATATTTTGTGTTTCCACACTTTGCTTTGTTGACAGCTTGTATCCAGCATGCTCCTTATATACGAGGTGCGACACAAAAAAAACGAGACTAGGTGTGTAGTTTGAAAAAGCAATGGAGTTGACAGAAATTCTTTTGGTGGCATCATCCCACATATATCCTCTATCCATGCTGCCAATTTCGATTTAATCCGTCATGCCATTGCGGAGTATTACATCATTGAGTAAACACATGCAACTGCATTCTGCCGAAAAAATGTTTAATGTAAAAACCGAACAGCGAATAAACATCAAGTTCCTTGTAAAATTTGTTGAAATATTTTGTAACATGTGATGAGACGTGGATTTTTACCTATGACCCAAAAAGTAAGCGCCAGTCAATGGAGTGGAAGTCTCTAGGATCCCCAAACCCCAAAAAAGCACGCATGTCAAAATCAACATTACAAATCAAAGGTCGGACTGTTAGACAACATTATTACATTGAAATACTAAAAAGACTTCGTGAAAAAATTAGGAAAAAAGGGCCACAGTTGTGGAGCAATGGATGGCTGTTGCACCAGGATAATGCACCCGCTCATACGGCACTGTCTCTCAAGCAGTTTCTGACCAACAAAAATATTACTGTGATGGGACATCCCCCTTATTCACTTGATTTGGCTCCATGCGACTTTTTTATTTCCTAAAGTTAAATTTTGCTTAAAGGGAACCCATTTCACCTCAGTTGAAGAGGTTCAGGTAAAAATGGAGAATCTCCCGAAGGGACTTCCAAAAATCTCGTTCCAGAATTGTTACCAGCAATGGCAGCGCCGAATGCAGAAGTGTGTGAATGCTAAAAGGGACTACTTTGAAGGTGGTAATGTCACGGAGAACTGATTCTGAAGATACAATGATTTATTGGACTAGTCTCGTTTTTTTGTATATTGATCACATGCTTTATATCTTCATTATTTTCCCAAACATCTGTAATGTGTAATGTAAACGTCTGTATTTGGAGAGTTGTAGTCTTTTGAGTAGACTCCAGACATTTTCTGTTGCGTTCACCAAATTTCACTTGGTGCGCTATCGATACTCGAGTCTAACGTAAACGTTCACACGTCTCTTAATCGTTTATCATCCACACAATTTAACAATTATGATGATAGTAACAAATCAATTTACAAATTTCTTCAGGCTATGTATTTCTTCGTCTTTGTCTTTGCAAGTATTTGTTCGCTTTTTCATTTACTGATGATATTTCTGATTGAATAAATCGCGGGTCATATCTTCATCGTGATTTTGTTCTTTCTGATATCACAGGACATAAATCTTCATCATGATTATTTTGCGATGAAATTAAGGTACATAAATCTTTAGACCGCGATCACAGTAATACTTGACCCTGTGTCTCCGGAAAATCCGAATTTAATCCGTGATTACCTTTCGCTTCCTAATGGTAAGAGAGAGTTAAAGATTCATCTTTCTTCTGTGTATATGATTGCTCACTTTTCTCCAGCGTTTCATGAAATGTTTCGTGAGTGAAACATTTTATAGGGAACCTCGATAGTCGATACGCAAGTATTAAGCTGTTTTATTAATGCACTCTTAAGTTCCAATTGTATCAGCACAATTCATGTGGACATCGCGGTAAAATTTTGAAAGTAGAAGAAACAAAGAAGATTAAATTTGTATAACGCTAAAGAATAATTAACACTAGAACTACCGACATTAAATGCTCGTTTATTGAAGAATGAAAAATAAAATGAAAAGGGAAATAAATAAATACTAACGCATCAAGTAACATACAGAACTAGTTTGAACGTCAACAAAATATGACAGACATTTCCATAAAATCGCGACAATAAAATTTTGTAATACAAAATGAGAAATCTGAAACCAGTCATTTTGACTGGTTGGTAGTTCTAGTGTTAAAGTATTTGAAAATTTACTTAGCTAGAATGTTCATTGAAAATAAAAGTATTTATATTGCATAAAAGATTGTAAAGAAGCTGACGAATGAAGAAGACATAGAAAGAGATAAAAGAATTCATAAAAATCATTCACAAATGTTTATTTGAGAAAATAACTAAGCCAAGCAAGGAGATAGCACGGAAAACTTTAATAGAAAAATTTAAACATTCCTATTTTTTGAAAGTAGGTTTGTAACCCTTTTGCATGACTATGCATTGTATTCTCTGACTATTGGCATCAATTTTTTGAATCAAAAAAATCAATGTTACCCTATTCATCCTTCGCAGTTGATTTAGTATCGTCTGATTACTCCCCTAAATACTGAAACCAAAAGTAATCACATTAAAAATTGCTATGAACAGGATGAGATTTAAGGAAACTTCATGAACTCAATACAGCATTATAAAAGTCATTTACATATGTGTGAACAATGTAAATAAATAAAAAGTCATTTTACGTTTCTATACTCTTATTTTTCTTTTTAATACGTTAATTTCACCGTTCATTACCGGTGAATACTGAATAATTACACGTCATTCAGGAATACATTAGACACGACCCATGAGAGGCATTAAATTTAATACAAGAGAGGAGCAATGGCTCTTGATCGTCTTTCTCTTTCTAACGTGTAAATTGATAATGAGATTCTATTTTGATACTTCTGTGATGTGCAGGCAAGATTGTTGATCTTCGCCATTCAGACGTCAAACTAAACTGTTCAGATAGAGGATGCAGTCTATTTACAGGGTGTCTCACAACTGATGTAGCTCTAAGAAATGAGTGATGCAACGTCCGGAAATGACGATGTGATTCTAAACAACTTTTCCAGTTGCAAAAATGGGGTTTGAAGCTTCGTTTGTGAATTATTAATCAAAAACACATACGTGATCATGAACAAGCACGTTAACATTAACGTAGCGGTTTTCTGTTAGCAATTATCGCGGTAAAAACATGCTTATTCACGATTGCGCTCAGCCGTTAGACTCGAAATTGTCGCTCTCGCGTCTGGGCGTGCACTATTCTCGTGTTCTGATTGGTCAGTGTTAATAGTTCAAAAACTAAGTTTCAGTCAACATTTTGGTAAAGATAAAATTATTCAGTATCATCTCAGCTACCATCCCCTGAAATCATGTCTACTAGTAGTCGAACACCTGCATATGGACATTCAGGCGCATATTATACTACGCATGCGCTGCGCAGAAAAGCATCTCACCGCAGTACCTCAATGACCTCAGCGAATCATACGTCTGCCGATTGCTTTAAACTACATGCTTCTCGATTTACAACAAAATAGCGGCATCACTTAAACTCGCATACGATCTGCAACTGAGTCCAGCCACGCGTCACATACCTGTACAGATCGGGAATGAGTCATGCAGAGTTCACTTCTCAACTGAAACGAAGGCGGTATTCGCTTACATGCAACCGAAGATGAGGCTTTTGGTTAGAACACACAGATAGATAGATCGTTCTTTGGTTAGAACGAAGGCTACAGCGGTCATATATACGCACTCGCACACACCAGTCAGATCGAAGGAAAGGAAAGTAGATGATCATTAGATCTCTACTCATATGGACGATGAGTGTGTCAACAGTAAGGTGGGCGGAACAAGCCGCGGGATTCTCTCTTGCCTCGCTAAGCTCTTAGGGTTCATCAAGTGGTGAGTGAATAGTAGGTGGTGTAGCAGATCGAGTCATCGGTAGTGTGGTCGGTGATACACGCGTTGGAAATATCAGCGATACGATTGATGGTGCGGTCGACCACACTACTTGTGACGCTGTCGAACTAGAGCTCGTACAGTTGGTGGTCTATACATGGGCAGTGTGAACTATGTTCGAGACGACGGTGGAGCACGTATGTTGACGTATGTTCGGTGTGTTCAATGCAGCGATTATGTCACCGAAACGTAAGTCCAACGCAGCCATCATGTATCATCTATCTTTGTGTGTTAACTGGTATTTCTACTGTTACGGCATCGCCGTTATCATATGGATGCCTTTTAAGTCTTTTTTTTTAATAGCTTCGAACGAATAACATTCATGGTACATATAGTCCTTGCTTTCTTCAAGTCATTCATGAAAATCTTCGTGCCTCTGTTAAACACATATTTTATCTCTTATCTGATGGGTACGATATTGTCCGAGACCAGGTGCGGTCAAACGCCTGCGGCCATGGTGTAACTATGTTTGGTTGAGTGGGTTACCGTACGCCCCTTGAGGAGGTTGCAGTTACCGTAAGTACACGATCGTTCAACGGATTGATGAGATAGTGGTGAGGATATTGTCGATGTGACATCGTTCCCGAGAAAATCTGGGTCGTTTGAATCGAAGAAGACGTTCACACTTATTATGGTTAAACACGATTTAATCTAGAGTATCTTTTCATCAGTGCGTTTTTTGGGAAGAAAATCATCCAGCCATACGCCGTTACTGGTACTCTTTGAGACATGTAAATTACCAGTATGAATAAAGCATCTCGTTATTCGTTTATCGATATTATGTGGTTACCTGACTGTTTGCATCAAGTGCTTGACTAGGTTGTTGCGACTGTGGATATTTGCTTCGGTCTTTTGCATTAATGTCATCATGACAAGGGTTTAAGTCATGTATATTTCGCTAAGATCCATGATAACTGGTCAGATTTGTTAGTAGATCCTGACCTTCTTGCTGGCCATTTTTACAAATCGACTTTACTAGATAACACGTGTTTTTTCAACATGTAGTCAACAATGTTTAGTGTTCAGTGCTGACTAGCTCTCTAAACTTAACTTATTAATGAATAATTAGTATAACATACTTCCAATAATTAACTGATTTAATGTTTGCTCACAGAGTTGGTAAATACGTCTCTTAAAATAACAGTTTCAGAAATCAAACAGCTATACAAGAATTTTTACCCCTCACTGGTTTATTAAGCTTGTTAGAATGAGTTTAGAGAATTTGAAAATAGAAATGTTAACTTAAAGGAATTTGAATTTAAATATGAAATAAAGCATCGTTGTTCAGCGGAATAAGTTAACTGCTGCAAGAACCTTATGCACAACTTTCCTTAAAACAACCAGGCTTTGAGACTAGACTGATACATAAACTAACTCAAACTCAGCTTCAAGAACCTGAAAGTTGATGCAGTGCTCTGAATGAGTCGAAAGTGAAGAGTCCTTTTGGGCTTCCTCGAGTTGATCCAATCTAGATTCCTTCTTGAGGTATACTTGAACGCGATCTGCTACTCCACTGGCTAATGCACTTGTATTTATACTCATCCGACAACAGAAAATGACTACCGCGCATGCGCCTGGCATTGGACTACGGCGTACTTTTCCCTTTTCAAGGTCACGCGAATATTGTCCTTACATTAAGGCTTATAGACTTTTAAGCGGTTTGCACAAAAATTACAATAATTTATTAAACATTTAATAATCGTTTATCGTATAAAATATTTATAAAATTATTATAGTGATAAGAAAAATTAAATTTTAATACAATTACTTACATTTACGACTTTTATTTGCAATTTCCGAGATGCTGCAAATGATAGAATGTATTAAACTTATAACAGTTGAAGAATGATCATAACTATACAACATCAGATTGGCAATTAAAATTAATATTCACTTCAAGGATTTTATTACGCCATCTTAATATTGCATGAAAGAATATTATAACTTAAACTGATGTAATATTTATCTTCATTACTTCTGGTTAATACGTGAAAAGTCTCGAAATGTGTATAAGTGACTGAGAAAGTTATGTTAGGTAGATAAAGAAAAACAGAAGTGTAAGATTATCATCTCGAAGAACTTTTGAAGCCATATTACATTTGATAAGCGATTGACTTAATTTATTAATAAAAATATTTAAAGTAACTACATTATATGGAAAATTCTAGATACAACTTAATTAGTTTAGTTAATATAAGCTATTAAATAAATAAAATTACATTAGATGGCACTGTAGAAGAGAATGCACTCTCATATAGTGCTATTATTATTCTAAATAACTTTCTTCCTGTGACTTCTTTTCGGTTCTAAATTAAAATCGTATTGCAAAATGACATTTTCATTAAATTGAAAGTATTCATTGAACCGTGTCAGACTAAACAAAGCTTTTAACGTTGCTGTCAAAACAACAGGCAGTTCATCACTAATTCGTATGTAAACCTTGTAACATAACATCTAGGCGCGAACCTGCCGTTCACACAGTTGTTGGCACAGCCAGGCCGCACAGCTACCAAACGCCACCGCGAGAGGGCGACCGCTGCGACCACGTTTCTCCCAGTTAAAGCGCGCCCAAAATAGTATATAGAGGTACTCGTCGGGCCCTACGGCCGGAGAGCGTACGGCAAAGCGATAGCGTAAGTGTATACGAAGCGGTCTACACCGTGCTAGCGCTCTCTTGTAAATTTTTGTTCCTTTTCCTCCAACGGAGGGTGATCAAGCGGGAGTGTGAATCTGCAGCCCACTTGTCGCAACCATACTCCGTACTCCAACGACCGTACGCTGTAGCTCAGCTACGAGACGAAGGCAATCCGACCGCCGAAGAATACGAGTGCGAATCTGCAGCGTGTTCTCGGAGTACCCATTTCTAGCCAGGGAAGGACGAAGTGTGAACCTGCAATCGTTCGGCCTCACTATCGGCAACCGATTTCACTCCGACTGCCTACTTTCCGCCCCTTCATCCTAATAATTGTATAATAGAGAGTAAGTTTGCGTGCGAACCGCGTTTCCGAACCCGGCATACCGGTCTAGTCGGCAAAACTGTGCCTCCGAAGACTCATTAGGAGCCACAAAATGGCAACCAAACAAGGCGATAGCGAGCACTCCTCCACTGAAAATCCTAAAGACGAGCCTGCCTGGACACTACCTATGAATCTGACGTTCCTGAATCTGCTTCACGACAGCGGAATTTTCTACGACGGCAGTGAAGGAGCCGAAGACTTCCTCAACCATTTGCAGCACTTACAGGCCACGTACGACCCGTCGGGCAATAATATTCTGCGAGGTCTGTCCCAGTTGTTGCGGGGACCAGCCCTGGCCTGGTACTTTAATCACCGGCACAAGTGGACCTCGTGGACAGCGTTTCTGGACGCCTTCCGCCTGGAGTATCTGCTACACCACGAACTGGAGGAACTGGAGAAGCGGTTTCTACAGCGACGACAGCGTCCTGGCGAATCTGGCCGGAAATATCTCAACGACATCGAGACCATAATACGCCTTCATGGGGGTTTCTCCGAGGAGGAGCGGTTGGAAATGAGCTACCGCAACCTCAGCCCCGAGTACCGGCGTTACATCCGCC